TCTTTCCCCCCAAACCGGGTTTCGGCACCAAAATGTAAGGTTCTTTTTGATTTGGAAGGAAAAATAAGCGCAGACAGAGTCCTAGGGGGTGTCCAAAAAGTGATTTATTAAACACACTTATTATACAGTGCGGGAAGCCGGTCTTCTTCTCTCTGTCCGCTACAACAAGCTTTATAGCCATTATGACGTCAGAACAATTCCTGGAAATCACCTTCTTCAGAACAACAACCCTTTCCCAGACTTGAAACCAGATGTTTCCCATCATCGGTGTTTGGGAACATAACAATTGTGTAAGATTGTGCAGTTGTGTAAGATTGTAGGTCCAGGCCAACGAAAGGTGAGTGTCCTTATCTGACTCACTCCGGACCTACCGCAATGCAATGCTGGTGCTACGCATGATAGAGTATTGCATCTAAAATGTGTTTTATTCTGCGTGCTCTGGCAAATATACTAAATGATAAATGATACATGATAATATTGATGATAACCTGATGATAAGTGATGCAGACTAATGAAGTAATGATGAAATAACGATCGTGCATGTGAATACTAACACAGTGACAGTAAAATAACATTCCTTGACGTGACAGTGTGCTTTCCAATTTGGGTAGACCAAGACCAGATATTAAAAGTAAGACATAATAATATGTTTACCTTACCTTAGTGGGTCTTTGCCCTTAAGTATAAGTGCCCTCAGGTGACCTTTGTTGTGATTTGGTGCTATATAAATAAAATTGAATTGAACTTGAAGGCGATAGAGCACTATTTATTTCTCCTTCATTACATAAACTGTCATTATCTTCATTTGTAGTTATAGTAGCTTGGGGGCAGTGAAAGGGCAAAGACAGTAGTTGGCACTAGAGTGCAAAAAAGTGCTTGGGTGCAGTGACTGTCCAAAAACAGTAGGGACAGTATAGAGCAAAAAGGCTCAGGAGCAGTAATTTTTCATAACCACTAGTAGCCAGTAGAGAGCAAAAGTGTGTGTATGAAAAGAATAGCAGTATGTATAGAAGTGTGTATTTTTTCCTCGTATTTCTATCTTTCCGAGGACCTCGCTCAAACTTTGAGAGAAGCATAAAAATGGCCTCTAGAAGGCATTACAGTGAAAAACAAGTGAGGACCATATTAAATGTCCTCACTTTTGCAAAAGGTCCTCACTCGTAAGGTCTTAAACCCACGCTGGTCCTCACAAGTATAGCATAACAGACAAACACACACACAAATGCAGCAAATCTTTCTTTATTAGACCCTCAAGTGGAAAATCTGCAATGTCATTGCAGAAAAGTGGACAGTGCAAGACAAATGCAGCTTGAGGGTCCTGCGCAGTATCTTAGCTTTTCCCAGGACTGCGCTCTTCTGGACAGAGATCTCCGTTGTTGTTCCTGGGATCTGCTGGAGCCACTTGCCTAGCTTGGGAGTCACCGCACCTAGTGCTCCGATTACCACGGGGACCACCGTTACCTTCACCCTCCACATC